TTTTACTCTATGCTTGGTTATCCCCCGAAAACGCGGTGAGACGCGATAAGGATTAGTCTAATTTGGCCTTTATGTAGATAGCAGGAAAGATCTTTGCCAATGGAATACAGACCGACTTTGGATAAATAACTTACAAAATATATTGGATGGGGAGAAATAGAATAGCTATTTAAAATTTTGAATCTCTCGAGTTTACAGAAATTATATAGCAATGAAGAATTTATTTTACATATATTTATTGGTATAGTTATTTTATAATTTATGCATAACATTCGATTCCAAAATAAAATTAAGTACTTGTCATATACTAGTTAAGGCTAATTATTTACAGAGTGTCCTAAATTTAAATGTCAAAACTTCGGAAGTGTGTAAGGAATCGATAAACAAGAATAATGTTCCTTAGAGATGCTCGTTTTTACTTCGTTTTGGAGAAAATCGCAATTATAAATGTTTACTTATTAATATTATTCGTTTTTAGGAAAGTTGGATGTCAAAAATGTCTACCTTTGTTGTTTATAGTTTTTCAATTCTTTAAACTTTTTGGGAAAATAATTTACTTTTCTTGATTAACGTTAAAGAATTTTGATATGTTTTTGTTAATTTTTATTTTGTAAATCAATTCTTATTAATTTATAGAACATTTTATTTCGGATTATTTTTACGAAAAAAAGATATAAATAGTTTAAATAATTTAAATATGTTGTTTAGATCTTTTTATTGAAAGATGTTGAGTAGAAAAGATATCGTATATGAATTGTATCTTGTAGCTTTTTCCATCTCTGACTTATCATTATATTTAGCCAATTTCCATGGGTTAAAAATTGATGACAATCTGCATACAATAGATCTCACTATTTTAAACATCGGACTCAATTAATTCTCGTATATCGGAAAAATAACAACAAATAAATAATGAACTCTATTTTACAAATCTGACGTGATGTTTCAAACTACCAGCATATTATGTTATAAATTTGTTTAATCCATTCATGCTTTGAGAATGAGGACAACAGAGAAAGAATAACTTTTTCATGATCGTTTTATTTTTATATTTTTTTATATATTTTTTTTCATAGAGAAACCGAAAATTATCATAATAATGATATTAAACTTTAAGGGAGTATGTTGTTGATGACTCAACTCTGAATTAGCTTTTAAATAATTGAAGCATAAATGACAGTGATTTTATAACAATATGAGTTTCAATAAGAGTTTTATTAATTTTATTTCAATGTATTAATTTTTTCTTAACTGTAATGTCATTATGATAATTTTCGATTTCCATGAAGAAAAATGCATAAAAAATATAAAAATAAAACAATCTCTGAATGTAATGAAAGGAAAATTGTTATTTTCTTCCTTACATATTTTTCGAGCTATTTAAACATGATCTTATTAAATATTGATATATCATATTCATTAGCCATTGATATATATTTTTGTATTAGCTGAAGCAAACTTAGAATTAATCAAGTCAAAATATTTCGCTTTATTATAATTTATAATATACATATAATATAATTTATATATACGTATAACATTTTAATACTATAACATCTCATTGTTGCTCATTCTGTTGGCCTTTAATGTCTCTCATTTTTAAATAGTTTAAATTTGAATAATCCGTATTGTGAAACTGTTCGAGTAAATTTTGCGGCACAAATCGATAATCCCACGTTGTTTCTTGTATAAATTACGGAAGTCTTCCGAGGGATTAGAATACGTTGATTCAAACGATGAAAGCTTTACGAGGACAAATCGCGTATCTCTGAAAGGTCTATGTTGAAATACGGACAGTCTCTTGCGAGTAATCCTGTAGTTTTCCAAGATCGAGTTCGTTCAAATGCGAGCCATCTGTAGCTTTGAAAGTCATGCATGACTCTTTAGGGAATTCTTTGAAAAGCTGATAAAGCATCTATGATGTGTACTTTCTTTTTGTAACTGTGGCACACAACACTTTATGTCGACATGATAAGCCCATAAAAGTTGCCTGCATTTTTTTCTTTTTTTTATTATATTAATGTTGTACAATTTGCTTATTATTCAGTTCGCTATTTATTGCTAAACATATAGAATTTTTGATCATTTAATTAATATTCTATCTTCTTTTGTGTTGTCAATGTATATTAATATACCAGGGCATCGGTATTACGCTTTTTATCTCTCATCAGTTTTGTACATAAATTTTATATATAAAATATATAAGTGTATCCTGTCACACAACGCTATTATAAGATCGTTTTGCTAATCTAGCGAAACGATCTTATAATGATTACACAGTATATATAGTAGCGTAGAATCTACTAATTATGCAAACGGTGAGGGAATAGTTAACGCGGCCGCGATCATCATCTATCCCATGGCAAAAGCTTTTGCCAGTTCACGCGAACCTCGTCGAGTTCTTCGAGCGCATTTATCGCAAAAGAGATCAAGGCTCACTGCTCCATTCTGTTCACGAGCAATAGCCTTTCTTGCATCCAAGAATGCGACGTTCATTCAAGCGACATTGAGATCACTCGATAACCTCTCGTTTCCGAATTCCCACAGGATTTCTTCAAGACATCGTTTTTTATGCAAATTACAAAATTTCACGTACATATTTACGCATATATTTTTTCGTATCTATATCCAAACTTTTTTAATAATTTAAATTTTATAATAAAACATTAATAATAAATTGCGTAAAATAAATATATAAAATAAAAAAATATAGAATGAAGTAATAAAAGGGAAAAAAGGAATTAGAGCGAAAAATATTAAAACACAAGGTTTCAGAAATTTAGAACAGAATATTCTTTTTTCGTATAAAAAGTTATCTTTATATGCACATTTTCTTTCTACAAAAAGCGCGAATTACTTTTCCAAGTAGCATTGTTTTAATACCATTCGATAAACAATATACGAAAAATTAAATTATAAAAAAGATCCTATTAAAAAGTATAGAAATATGTTTGATTAACATAAATTATATGGCCTAGCTAACGCTAAATATTCCTGAAATATTTGTAAAATGTTCCAAATATCTCAAAATAACATTCAAAGAATATCCCAGAATATCTTGAAATATTTATGGAATGTAAGAGCAACATTCAAATAATCGTTAAAAATTCTATTCATACATCATTATATATTTGGAGAATGTTTCATATATATTTGGTAACATTAAAATTTTTCCAGAAATTCCAGATTTAGAAAACACATTAAATTAATTTTTAAATGAAACTTAATTATCAAAAATACATTTTTTTACTTTTACTTTGGAATTCAATTCACAAGCGAAATGGTGCGCTCTTCATATTCTTTTCTAAGTGATTCTTATATTTACGAGTTAATGCATCTCTGTCGCGGTTCTCTGTTGACGTACTGCTTGCGAGTGATCGAGTGATTTTCGTGATATATACAAGAAATGTTCATATTGTATAATACTCTGAAAGTTTCATTAATATTTGAAAATTTTGTGAATATATATTTTGAATATGCAGCACGTTGAAAATATTGAACTTTTCGTGAATGATTAGCTAGGGAGATTTTCATAGAAGACTAATTATTATGATAAATCAATTTACTTAATAGGTAAACGTTGAGGTAATAATAGGTATTATTATTTCTTTCAACATTTGAGTTAAGCTTATTCATGTGATAATATATGAGCAGTAATTAGAACATTAGCCATTGTAATTAATGCCACCTCAAATTAATGTAAAATATATGTACACAACGTAATTCAAGCGGAAGTTCATAGAACCGCGGATGAAATACAAGTGTGAAATAGTTCAACAGAGTAACAGCAGAAGGGCAGCACTGCTTCCTCGTTTCAGTTTAATTTGGATTAACCAGCAACTTCGTACATAGATTAAGCAATACATGGTCGACCAAACTTGGGTCAGTGACGACAACGCGTTGAGAAATGCTGCGTCCTGTCTCGGCGTGGCATTGTGGATTAATTAATTAATTAGTTAATTGTAGCGAGAAATTATTATTTGTTAAAAATTAAAATTTAATGAAAAATACGTCAGCGAAGTTTTATATTAAAGGGAATTTTTATTACATCGTCAGGAAAATGTGAAATGTGATTATGCTGAAAGCCTGCTAATATATTCGTGATGCAATGCAGTGCTTTACATGCAATTAGGCGATTCATCATTTTGCTTTTACGATAAGCAATTTTCAAAGATAAAATAATTTATAATTAATTATATAATAGTTCTAATACAGTTAGTTAAAATCATAGAATCATAGAATCATGGTAGAAACGTATAGATATGTTGTTTTCGTTATAACATATTCGAGAACATACTGATTTCTTCCATTGTAGATAAATATGATATTGACAAAATAATATTGCTTTTTCATCATTTTTTCAGCAATAAATATTTTAACGGAAGTATTTTTCATGTCTCATCTTGCATGGCGAAGTAAAGCTTCCTAGTAATACGACAGTAATATGTCCTAATTAATATGTCCCATTTGAGAATTGATAGTATCTTCAGCTTTGCCTTGTCTTTTTTTTCTTGTAAGATGAATGGAACCAGAAGGATTCTACACGTCATAGTTTTTCTTATTACCTTCTATCCAATTAGTCTTTTCGTTATTCTTGGTTGCTTTATTCATTGTCAACGGCATATAGATTTTTTAGCATCTACATCAAAAACTTTAGTATTCTTCTTTTTAATCCTTACACATACACACACAAATATATATTTAATTTATCTTTTTTCATTCTTTGTTTTCTCTTTTCCCTTTTTTCTATTTTTTTTTAATTTATCGTATATCTATTTCGTCTTTTAACTTTAATTTATAATCAGTCTTTTTATTATTATTATTCCATCTAGTTTACATTTGTTATCTGAACCTTTCACAGCTCAATGAATACCATTAACGTCATTAACGTCATTGATCCTATACAGCATGGCTCTTCTCTTCAGCGTTTCACATCTCCAATACTCTCAAACAGATGAAACTTTCTCGCTTAAAAGCCCCGTCTGTTATTGTTTTTCCAGGACCGCGAATTTGTGGAGATGGAGGTGCCGTACAACGGCGCTCCGAAGAGACCGGGCTCGCCATCGCCCCTGACCTCCCCCGCGCACAGCACTGCCTCCAGGGGCGGCCTGCTGCAGTCTTGCTGCGGGCGCTGCTATCCCCAACGTTACCAGGTACGCGGTCGACGTATACTCACTTCGAATACCTCCATAAACGAGACCGCGCCCTCGTCCTCCTCCCATTCTCACCAATCGCAACCCGGTCGGTCGCATTATCAGCCAGCCCCGGTCGACCCGGCGACCGTGCCGAACGTCGTGTTCAACGTGCCTGGCGACACCGATCGGCAGCGTCGCCAGGGCGCGAGCTCGTCCAGCCCATACAACGAGACGAGAGTGTGAGCCGGGGTAAGGACTGCCGACGCGATCTTAATTATTTGGCGAGAGAATCCACATTCGGAATCGATTGCCAGTTATGAAACCGCATCGCAGTGCAACCCGGTCGACCTCATCAAATTCTAGATTGTCGATTGGGATTCTTGTTCTTCGGCGATGCTGGCTATTTTTGTCGAGTTTTCAAAAGTCGATAATCTAACATATTTCTTGATGGGAACAACAAATAATATTGCGAATTTAGTATCCGTAATGTATACTTCAATCTTGTTGAAATTAATCGCTTCACGCGCTACGAAAGTATTATTTCTAAGCTCTTTAACTAGTGGCAAAACGAATCGACCTTCTCACGCCAGAGAGAATTAAGTTGATACAAGAATGCAACTCGCACAAAGTTGACTAGGATTGCAGTCACATCGCGAATAAGGAATCTTAATTAAATGAACGTCTTCTCAAGGAGCGTTTAATTCGGATGCGATGCTTTTAATCGTCGCCACTAATGGAAAGCAGCTGTTTCCAACTGAATGAACAGTTTAACGGCCGGCAGCCAGTTGTCTCTCCTAATTCTTGATCCCTCAGGGTTGCTTTAGTCGCTCTTAAGTCAAAATTTACAATTATCTAAGGTTTCTGGTGACAAAGATTAACTGCAATGCGTATCGCGTATGGAGGACAAGACAGCGCTACATATTATACTCTATCTTTTTTTGTAGAGTACTAAACTTACTTTATCTTCATTTCTGTTGTCATTGGTACAAAGTACAATTTCTCTTCTGATGAGAATATTAATTAATTGTTCTTTCCTGTAACATTTATTCTTCAGCGCGCTTAACTTTCCTGGAGATTAAATCGTAGATCTAAAGGAATTAATATGAAACTGTTGGAGTTATCTCATTCAGGTCAAATCTTTCAATTCTCTTCAAGATAAAGATAAGGACAAAATAATATATCGTTGAAGGCAAGAATAATAGGCAAGGTTAATTATTTACGTGAGTTGAGTTATAATTAACTTGCGAGTAGTCCACGACGGCTGTTAAATGAAAAAATCATGGTTTATATTTTTATTTAGAATTTTATTAATGTCATCTTTTGCCAAATCAAGATTTGCATTCATATTTTATTTTTTTTAAATAAGAAATTGTTAAAGAATTTTACCCTATTATATCTTCTTGTAAAATGATGATTACCAAAAATTATGCACATATTTGGATGAATATATTTTTTTATATAATTAACTTATTTTGAAGATTAATTTATGTATCATATAATATAATTTATTTTAAAGAGTATAATGTATAAATATTTTTAAGAACGCTAATCTTTTATTCGAATAACATTAATTATGAGAATTTTGTATATTATTTTTATAATATATTACACGATATGATAATGAAAAACAAAATTTATCTTAAATGATGAAACTCCAAAAAGAAAGATGTAAAAATGATATAGATAAGGGAAGTTGAAGGTTAATTATCGGATATAATCGAATTCATCTTATTTGCTCTTATAGATCATAAATTGAAGTCCAGAAAGTTAATTCTAGAGATAAACTCCAATTGTCGAAGATTTATAAGTTTGATTTGTGTTGCCTCTTTCCAGCACTGTCGCCGTACGAATTTTGAACTGGTACTCTTAGGAATTAGGTGCTAATCTCGATAATTTTATCGCCATTTTAATCGCTATAGGAACGCTGCAATTAATAGAATCGCCGATGTTTCGCTTACTTAATTTCCGGAGATTTATCGCTGATAATGTCCAGATTGGCAGACCAATGAGGTGTTAAACATGTGAGCGTTCTGTTCCGCTACTATTGATTAATTTATATGATTGCTTAGATACGCGTTGACTGTAGAATCTTGTCCCACACATTAATCGTGACTTTAATATTTTAACGTAGATAACTGAGCCTCCCAATATCTAAAAAGACATTACTCATAGTAATTGCTATTTCCTTACCAAATTCTAAATCGATGTCATAATTATAAGAATAATGCACTAAACTATTTGCTCTCCTCGTAATTGTTCGGTCATTTCTTAATATATTATTTACAGTCACGCGGGCTCCATAATATTATTTAGAAATAAAAAATAAATTAAATCATCAGTAATTTTATCATATTTTGATAATTTTAATATTAATTTAACATTAATGTATTCTTTCGCATGATTGATTTAACGCTTTATATCATTTGGGAATAATTTATAATATCATGTACTAAAAATGATTTAATTTATATTATCTAAAAAATATTTATTTCATAAATATTTATTTCTTTTGATTTATCATACTAAATATGATTTAAATATAGAGAAATTTATACCTCCAAGGAAATTATCTCGATTGGATTTGTTACATTGAAAGTACAATTATGTTTTTCGATTGCAATTTTTAATTTTCTTGAGTATATTTTTGTTTTTATTCTCGTCGAGCTTTGCTCGTTTAAGACTTGATCGTTTCGAATATCTTGTGAGATGGAATAAAACGGACTGTTTTCTTTTGTAATTTCCTTGACTTTTTTCTACACTACATCATCTGTTTTCATTTCATCACTCTGAGTGATAGTTACGGAATACCGCGCAAAGAAAATAAAGTCGTCTTGCTAGATCATTTTTATACTTTACAAGAATCTTACAGTTGCATGCGTTCCTTTGTAATATTTTTTTAAGGATTGCGGAAAGTCATTATGCGATTACTTTAAAGTTAAAGTTTCTTTACTTTTCTCCCTGTTTGATAGCTATAGCAAGATTATGTGACAATAATTACATATCAGTAATATTTATAAATGAAATGTGATTAATTCTCATATTTTCAATGATACATTATATCAATGATTGATACTTATATCATTGAGAGTGGTGGGAATGTATTGAATATTTTATTATTAAACTATTAAAATATCTTTCGATGTTTATGTGGCATATAAATGGGATTTCGAATGAATATTTTTCAATTTTTGAGCAATTGATTGAAGAGACTTTCACTTTTTTCATATCGAACACAGATGCTTATACTAGTACTAGATCGCTAATTTCGACTAAATGCTATAAATGGCTGGATTTCCGATTGATTAAAAAAAATATCCATTCCATTCATTTTGCACACACATGCACAAAATATTTACATATATACCAGGGTTGTTAATATATTTTTTAAAGCTAAATTAAGTTAAAGTTGACGAATGAAATTAATTTTTATAAAATTAATTTTGTTAAGTTTAAAGTGGAACGAACAAAAAACTAATACAATTGAAGTACAATTCAAGTTACGATAAGATTGAATTTATCCAAGTTAAATAAATAATTAAGTCTGAAAAACATTACTTCTATTAAATCAGAATATTCAACTTTTTCTTAAAATTAGATTATTTTAAATAATAAAACAATTACAGTACAGATAATCAGATAAATTATATAAGATATTTTATATGGGTAAATTATAAATAACAAAGACATTTTTGGTATAATAAAAAACTGATTGTTAGTATTTTTATATAAGTATCTTTATATTTATATTATAATAGAAAAACAAAATGTAATTATTAAGAATGTAAGTAATGTTGTATGTCCTATATAATCCTTTTCTTTGTGTTGTTTATGCTTGCACGTTCTTTGAAAATTATATGTAAATAAAAAGTTCTTATTCTTTCTTTATCACTCATTAGGCGTAAAACAAGGATAGCATTGCACATTGATAATGTTCTTTAAATGCAAATTTAATTCACATTCATTTTTGGGCACTACGACCGTCGCGCCCATCAAATAATCATTGAGCTTTTTTTAAACTAATTCTCTAATGTTTAATATTTTACAAAAAAATAAAATTAGCATTTTTAAAAAAATAAAGAGTACTTTAACTTAAAAAAAGTTGATACATTAAAATTTGATACATTAAAATTTTAAAGTAAATTAATTCTTTTAAAATTAATTAAATTAAATTAGATGTTATCAATGTTGTAACTTATTAACTAATTACTACTACCCAATCCTGATACATGCGTTACATACAACACACGTACATCGTCATTTTCTTAGCTCAAAGTAAGCAGTCCATTTCTAGTATAAATCTGTGATATCAAAGATGAAAAGCTGAGACAAATTTCAGAAATAAAATCGTATTGTTCAGCGCATAGTGATGGTCGATAGCTCGATAGAAATCTACATACAAATCGATCTTCATGTAATCCAGGCCGGTATTAATGAAAATGAGAAGTGATGAATAGCCCAACCGACCGACAAATTGAGGACGAAACATTGTCGAAATCCCATTAACAAATGCTTCTGATGTCTTGGCTTTTATTTTTCATGATTTTATTTAATGCCGTTTTATCTTTTCCTTCTGATTCTACTAATCTTTGGTTAATTCGTAATTTATGAATGCCTTAATTTACGAATAGGTTTCAAATTCTCATATTATATCTTATATTATATTTTACACTTGTAGAATATCGACGGCAATTTTAAATGAGAACAATTAGGTTAATTATAATTTCTTGATATTTAAGTTCAAGAATTATTTGATCTAGAATTATTTATTCTTATTGTTTAAAATTATTTAATTTTATCTATTTAATTTTTAAACTTTTTAAAATTTATTTACATCTCTCTTAAAACGGATGATTATTATTGTATTTAAAAATTAGCAACATTGCTTAAAAAATATGCAGGATGTGTTCCGCTTTAAGCTTACAAAGCTTGTTAGTATCATTTGTCTTTGTTTTGTCTTGAAGAATATTATTTTTTGTTTAAAATATTATCTTCTGTTAAAATCTTCTAAATTTCATGGG